TCCGTCCACTTCTTCTCTCAAGGAATCCCACTTTTCTTGAAGACTGCCTGAAATCCTCTCGTCCCATTGCAGTCGTTGTTTCCAAAGGTCTTGCTGAAACACCTTCATCTTGACCATAAGCGGGATTAACCAGCCTAAAGGATCGTAAACAGAGGCAATGTGGCGAGCAACGAGTCTTTTTGTAGCATATGCTTCTTTGGGTATCTTGCAAGTGATGGTGATCAGTCCTTTTCTGTATCCCATTGAAGTCCAAGTATTTTCTGAGATTTGCCTCGAGCCAGAGCTTCTTCCGGAATCATTTTGTGCAATCCTCTCGTGTTTCACAGAAATTCGCGGAGGTTCATTCCCATTTCCGTGAAGACGTTTCGTGCTTTAACAGCCTTTGCGTTGAGCTCCACTTCCTTGTGCGCTGTCAAAATAAGATTGTCTACATACAGGTTTTCTCTAATTTCCTTTGCAAGTGGTTGATCGATGACAGAGTGCTCTAAGTGGTACTGTATCGTTCCGGCCAGTAGGAAGGGCGATACATTCAATCCAAATGTCACTCTTGTGAACCTATATGTGACAATGTTGTCCTCTTCTGCAGGTGAGTTAATGTGGCGGACCCATAAAAATCTTGTAGCATCGCGATCAAGTTCATGAAGATGAACTTGCAAGAATGCCTTCTCCACGTCTGCTGTGGCTGCAAACGATGCCATTCTAAAGCGAAGCAACATCGCATACAGATCAGGAAGAATGAGTGGACCTTGGTAAAGTACGTCATTCAGTGATGGACAGTCCTTAAAATGAGATGAGGCATCGAAAACAATGCGAAGTTTTGTTGTCTCCTTGTCCGGCGTAATCACGGGTTGGTGAGGGATGTAATGCAAATGCTTTCCGACAGTTGCTTCATCTCCAGGAATTTCTTGGAATATTCCCTTCTCTAGCTGTTCTTTCAGGGCTTGATCGTATGCTTGGAGTAAATCTGGTTTCGATTTCAGCATGAGCAGAACGCTGTTGAGTCGTTTTTTCGCTATGGCTCTATTGTTTGGAAGATAAGGATGATCTTCTTTGAATGGTAGCCTCACATAATAGCCGTCATTGCGCCTTTGTATTGTGTCCTTGAAAAACTGCGCAACCTCTGCATTGTTAGCTGCTTTTTCTGCGCCTTTAGTGCCCGTGAATTCGCAGATACCGGCCGAATCTATGGCCCAGTACTTGTCCCACCGATCCCTATCTTCCTCGAAGTTTGCAGACGAGAGATTCAGAAGAAGCTCAAAAACGTACAGAGCGAGTCCTTTCGCTCAAAACAGCACTCTTTGCAGTCAACTATGAAGAAGGAAGCAGAAAAGTGGAGGGAGAATTCGAAGAAGCAGAGCAGGCATTTCAAGCATGTTTTTGCAGGATTAGAAGGAAAGTCAAACCCGGTGTCACCTGCTCAGAAGAAAAGCAGTAGTGAAGAGAGACGAAGAGGTATCCAGTTGGCACTTGCAGTACTAAAGGAAAAAGAAGAAAACAAGCGAAGTCTCACAGTGTATACGAGAAGGCACACCCAAAGACAACCTTCTTTGTCAAGAGAAAAGAAGGTATAAATTGGTGGCAGTACATAAGGAACAGATGACAAAAATCGAAAAGAACTCAAACTGCCCCTTCACTGAACCTTCCGGCAAGCGTCAACAACGAACAAGGAAGCAGCATGGTCTATGGAGAGATCGCTCGGCAAAAAATCATCTTGGAAGTTTTGTGGTACAAGACACTAACGATTATATTTCCAGGAAGTGCTCTGCTTGTGCTAATCATGTATTTGAGCATTCAAAGCCTAGAATTAACAGTTCCTTGGACAGTTCGTCATATATTTGCCAGGATAAGTTGCCTACCGATGCATATAGTGGTAAAAGTAGGAAGATGCTTACAAAGAACGCTTCAGCACAGTTCGTACCCCCACCAGAAAACAGTTCAAGGAATAAGCGCTAGATGATTTTCCCGATGACAAGTTCCAAGTAGTTACGAACTTGCGTAGCCGGGAGTAACGCGGATCGCGATGCAATTGAGCAAGATAGTGCATGAGAGTTGCATACGATGACCCCTCAGTACCAGTTGAGACGTTCACGGATCGCAATGCTTGCTAATTGAAAGGCTAGTTGCGAAACGCCAAGGAATGAGTCCACGATGCCAGATGCGACATTCCCTTCGACAAAAAGATCTCGGTCCACCGACAAAAACGATTGCAGCTGCAGAAGGAACGATGGAGCCAGCAAGCGAACGTCTATATATACTTAGTCATTATTACTCACGCATTTTCCATCACTTACACTCATTGCTTGTGTTGCCTTACTATCCGCTCATTCCTTGTAGGATGGCACATTCAACACTCCTATCATATGTTTCCTAATCCCCTCTTGTACATTTCTTGCAAGTAGTCCAAATTCACATGACCAAGATATTATTTTGGTTTGACTTATCGTCATCATAGTTCCAACCATTTGTTAGTGATTTCGTCACTTTTTCATGCTGATGCTTCGTTGTTTATGTGTGTGTATATTTCAAGCAGAATGAGGGTTTAATTACCCAAGTTTGAGGTGATCGGCAATAAACGCGTGTCGTTCATGCGGTGGTTGGTGTGGTTCAATTGGCAAGGTTGTGGCAACCTTTTTAGGCCCGAGTTTTTAAGCTGCGACTCTCTCAGTGGGATAGCCTGCAGTCTCCCAACCCGGATGATGCCAAACTTAGATATGGGCATGCGAACAACCAACTGCTCTCTCTTCAAACTCTTCGCTTCTCAATAGAGCGCATATGCAGCGCAAATCCGTAGCGCTGTGGGCGCAATCTCACGTCAACGTTGTGGGCTAACTCCGATTAGGGCTTAATGTAGGTATGGTTTGTTCCTCAGAAATATTCCCATAGGTGACACGTAAACTCACTGCTTTGTAATCGTTTTGACACATTCACTTTGAGAATGCCTTGAACTTGCTGAAGTTAAATGCTAAGAAAAACGAAAGGCAGCGAGCTGACGTGTATAGGCCAGAGGCGGACGAGGGGGAAAGCCCCTTCCCCTCCCCCCCCCCCCCCACCCTGAGAATGAGTGCGACACATTCTCGGGGGAAAGAAGATTGAACGTAATTTTTTGAAACTTACTTGCATAGGTTACAAAAATGTGTTGGACTTGTTGGCTTGACTTGTTTATTCTTGTAAATAAATAAAGTAATCTTTTGAATTTTTTAAAAATTCAAATTAGCCCTATAGCCACGTCCCCTTTTCATAGATTAAGGGTTATGGACCCGCAAATACTTAGAGAAGCACCACAAAAAATCTTTCGGATTGCTGGCTAAAGCCAGGCACCTTCACTTGAACCCGGGACGGAAATCCAGCGACTGTCACCGTATAGGCCTATGAAAAACTAACTCCCCGCGCGATGCCTTAGGCCCTGGGCATACCCACGCTGGGCATACCCACGCAATTTCAGTCGCGACCCCATTTGGCAATCCTCCAATTGTTCATAGCCATCGTAGGGGGTTTCTGAATGTACGGAAAATAGCGCACTTCATCAACAATATATATCACTTTATCAAAGTTGTATACGCTGTGCATTTCGGGTCCCAATAGTGAATTCGAAGACATCTGACAAATTGCCAGATGGCGTGGGGACTGAAATAGCGTGAGGTATGCCTACGGCCTTCACACCCGCGTAAGCTAGCGGTCATCGCGAATGACTGCAGGCGTTTGCTATTATTGAAGAAATTTTCCTTCAACTTCTATGTTGTTTTTGATACATTTACGACAAGGCCGATTTTTCGAATACTGCCGTTTCGAAATAGAGCCTTTTTCGCTCAGTCAAACTTACGACCCACCCGTGGGTCGTATTGTTCGAAATGGTAGTTTTCATGAAAAAATTGAGAGCATGTCTCCAACAATTTCCCCAGAGGAGTTACCGGAGGCATTGCTTATCAAAATATGATTTATTTTAATCTTTGGCATTATACGGCAAGATTACGGCAGTCATTCTGTAATAATCCAACAGTATGAATTTTGATGTAAAGCTGTGTTTTGAGATCAGTTCACGAGCTGATCACGATTATAGTGTCCAATTTGTTCTCTACTTTCCCACAAAGGGGCCATGGTAGCAGTACGGTAGAATTTTCCTAAAAATCAAAAAACTATTGTAAGAAGGCGGTGAGAGCACTTGAGACTGTCATCTTTGTAATCAACAAGCTATAAAACCTATATATTTAAGATGAGGTTCTTGAGATGAACAACAAAAAAATCAATAAAATCAATAAAGATAACCATTGACTTGCTAGCATTACTCGCTTGGTCGCCTCGTATCGCCTGTGCATATACACTTGATAAAGAAACAGCATCCTTTCAAGGAGAATTTGAGCTAAAGGATGCCTTATCTTAATTCACGGTATACCTACCGTAACATTACATTACAGTACCCCGCGCCCGGACCACTCTGGCTGGAACTTCGTCCGGGTGTCCTTGATCATGTACCAGAATCCGTAGAATTTTATCGTATACTGGCAAAGCTAGAGCTTCAGGAATCTTACGACCCACCGGTGGGTCGTATTGCCGTGGATGTGTTAACAATGTGAGATTTGTTCTGATGAGACCTCCCTTCGAAAGCCTAGAAAAATATGTGAGAAAGGGGTGCGCACTCTGTCGCTCGTAGCAAGCCTACGCCCTTCGGAAACCGTCTCCAGCAGCCTCTCGCGTTGGTGTTCGAAGCGACCAGTGGGCAAATGGATTTCACAAGGCCTGCATTTATGGGAACTATGGGGAGAGGTGATTTATAGGCTACTGCATGGCGAATGCGCAGTACCCTTGGGCGCGAAAGCGGCTTTATTAGCCGCAGTGCGCATGAGGCGCAGAATTTACAACGGCGAAGACACGCGCGCTGAGTTTGCGTCCACTCAATCGATAGTGCTTCTGCGCCTTCGTCCTGAAATAACCTTTATGTGAAAACTGCGAACTTGCCGAACATAATAGTTGAGGGAAACGATGAAGAATTATCGCGGTAAGAATCAATAGACCATCCAAAAACCCGCCTGTAGAATTGGATCTGATGCCGAATATCTCCATAGATGGCATTCCAAAGAAGCTGATTACTCGAGAAAGAAAAGGCCAAAGCAGCAAAAACGTTCACTTACAACTTTGAGTGCACCATTTACTGACCGCCGATACTATTATACTACTACCATGCTTCACCGATTCCATCGCGACGGTCTCCAACCTGTAAATGAAAGACAAGAGCCCTTGTATTAAGCGTTGGTGAAACAAGAAAAGCGAACAAACAAAAATAGTCTGTGCTTATTCCATTCACTGCACTCGTTTGGCATTCGATGGTCATGTCACGAATGGTGACGTCACAAATGTCTGCGGCGTGTAGAAGCAGCTTCCAATAAGGCGCTGACAGGTTTGGTCTGAATTTTGAGCATATTCTCGTGTGGGCATGACAAAAAGATGTTTAGATGTGTCAGTACATGTAATCTGACATGTTCAAGGCGTTTTAATGGTGAGTTCAGCTTGATGAGTCTTGTGCGCTAAAAGGCGAGTGATGCGTTTCTCTAACTTGTCCATTTTCAAAAATCTTTTTCTCAGTCTTTCAAAAACTGTGTGACGTTTTCTAGCGAATTTGCGAGTGCCACAACATGTCCTTCACAAGCAGTGAACTGAACTATGTCGTCTGGAGATATCTGCATGAGTCTGGTGAGTGCTGAGAGCATTGCTGTTTTATTTCTGTTACAAGCTACACATGATTTTAAAATCATGTGTAGCTTGTAACAGAAATGAAATTTTTTGTTCGCTGCTATACTTTGAGTGCAAGTGATGCGCTTATCCAATGCTCTATCCAAAAAATAACAAATAAGCTCTGATAGTAGAGATTTTGGATGCTGCAGATTCAACCAACCTGTTATCGTAAGGCATTCATGAAATCGTGAGGAGTTCCACAGGAGCATAAATATTCATGTGGACCACCTCGATGATAAGCTCACCCACCTTCAGTATCCAAATGCTATCATATGTAGATACGCAAAAAAACCATTCAATTAGTGACGGAATCCAAGAATGCGGTTGGCAGATACGCGTAATGCGCGCGGTCGCGCCATTGTCACGATTTTATAAATGCCCATCATCGGTCACAAACTAAATGCACAATGCTGTGTGTCTCATTCACAATTATGTATTTATCATCGGCTCCACGATTCGTGTAGAGGCGGGGTTTTGCCAACTCAAAGCGTGGCGGTTTTTGATAGCGAGAGAGTACAACAATGCTATGACGTGGAGATTTAACAAGTTTACCTGTATTATCAGGCAAAGCCTGCAATACACCTCTACACAAATTGTGGAGACGATCATACTGTGTTTGAGACGGACCTTCAAATGCTGCCTACATTACCAGATCTAAAAACGATCCACCATCACTCACCTTTGCGGGCTTTTAATTAGCAAATTCACAAATCCCAAACTGTGAACTTTCGTCCCAAACGCGCATTCAAAGTTATACATTGACCCAACTTTGAGCATAAAGGATTGCAGGTTTCCATCACAGTGCTTATGTCTTTGGCAACGAGTCCAAACTACTCGATTTCACGCCTCCTTTCATGGATCTGCCCTCAGGATCACTCGTAATGCTCGTGCAGGTAGAAATTTTCGCCTAGTCAGACATGTTGCAAAAGTCTTTATAGAGTACATTGAATGTTAAAATAATCTATTGTAGAGAGGATTATATTACACTGATGCTGAGCTAAGAGCCAAAAACGACGAGTTTCCAGCTGAAAGCGGAGACGACTGCAAGATCAGTCTTATCGAAGGAGGTGTGTCAATTTGCACTACTCGATGTGTAATTTCTATGGCCAAGAACGAGCGTAAGTGGAGAAAAGCTTACCAGTGAGCATGCATTGTAAATCCTATGCGGTTTTGAGTACCCAAAGAAAAAAGGACGTTAACACGTTGACGACGAGCCATTTTTTGAAGGTCTGTCCCTGTGGACGAACCGTTTCCGGGCATTTTCACAGCCGGCTGCACATATATATGCATGCATCTATGCGTGAAGTACAAAAATGCAAGTGGGCGGGGAAGCTCCGCCCACTTTTGGCAAGCCCCGCCCACTTTTCAAAAATGTTGGAAACTGCTCAAAATCAATGAATTCGTGCAAATTCCGGCATTTTTGAAAAGTGGGCGGAGCTTGCCACTCAGGGGGCGGGGTCTGCATAACGGGAGGCGGGGTCAAAATCAAGAATATTTGAGGTTCCCCAGTCATTTACGAGCTTTTCTATGCGATTTGAGAACGAAAAATTTTTTTGCACAGGGCAATGGAGTGGGCGGAGTTTGCCAAAAGAGGGGCGGGGCCAACATAAAAAACTTCCGAGCCTAAACTGATTATGTGAACACAAATTGGAACCATTGTGCACATTCGAACTGGTATTTAGGGTGTCGCGCACCATTGCGCGACATCGTCCACAGGGACAGACTACCTGTCGCGCACCATTGCGCGACACCGTCGTCAACGTGTTAAAGCAGTGGCTCGGGAAAATCGCGAGTGGCGGGTTTTCACAACTACATGGTCTTCTGGAGCAGCTGAGTGAGGTACTGTGCTTGAAAAGTCAAAAGTGCTTTTTTGGCGTTCTCCGACCTTGAAGATTGCTGGAGAGGCGGGGCGAGGGGTTCCCGTCAACTGTATCGTATTGATTGCCTGAGCCGATCAGCCAATTGCCGCCAAAACAGGTGAAGTTACAGTATCCTGCAGTCACTTGCTGGTTATGGCGGGACCCCTCGCCCCGCTTCTCCTACAATCCGCAAAGCCGGTAAACTCCAAAAAAAAAAAACACTTTTTTGACATTTCAAGCACATACCTGACTCAGCTTGTCCATGTAGGCCATGTAGTCGTGAATAGCCCCCAGCCGCGATTTTCCCGAGCCACTGCCCTTAAACTGGTTCGTGCAGTGCTTTCAAAGATTACACTCTGCAATCATAAGCGCTCCTTGATCTTCGTTTTCATGGGTTGTGTCACCTTCGTATGTTGTACAAGATTTATCAATTATGGAGTCGGGTGCACCAGCATCTCCGCTCCCGCGCGGCCGCCTCGCCTGATTCTGTCTCTTTCGCAAACATGCTCTCTTACCACTTCCCCACCACGAGAGTGGGAAGAAAGGTGGAGCTTCAATCGTTAATGAAGCGTGCAAAAATGATTAGAGAGCAAGTTCGCGAAAGAAGTCCAGAATTTAGGCGAGGCGGTCGCGCGGGAGCGGAGCTGGTGCATCCGAATCTGCAGTTGATAAGCCCTGTATGAACAATGAGGTCTCTTGAGTTTTGTATGGTCCCCGCCAGAGTGCCGAAGCCACGCCAGCGCTACGCCGACGCCGAGCCAGCGTTTCGATCGATACACGTTTATTTCGTTGGGGCGGGGCCCTGGCTGAGAACTAGGTCAGCTAGCCTCGCCCCCAACGAAATACACGTGTATCGATCGAAACGCTGGCTCGGCGCCGGCGTAGCGCCGGTGTGGCTTCGGCACTCTGGCGGGGGCCTATGTAGAAAGGCGAAGGTAAAGAAGCTTGCGTCGAGTTACCCAACTAGTATAGGAAAGAGGTAATATCTGCTGCATGACGAAGGCGGTCGCCCAACTAGGTTGAAGGCTGTTGCGCACGCGACGCACGGGCAATTGTCAGCCACGGGCGCGCGCATGCTCCATTGTATGACCGCTGACCGAGCGTGCGCGCGCCCCATGGTTGAGATTTGCCCGCGTGCGCGACAGCCTTCAACCTATTTGGGCGACCGCCTTCGTCATGCAGCAAATATTATACAGTCTGCCCCATTCGGGATCAGGCCGAACCGTTGGCTGAATTTGCGCGCTCGCAGCGCTAGGGGATTGCGCTGCAGACGCGCGCTGTCGCAGAGAGTGAAGAGATCGAGGAGAGAGCAGACTAGCTAGCCGCAAATGTGGTGCGAGACTCTCGCGGTGCGGACTCCCGCCATTCCGATTTTGGCCTGGTTAGGATTGGGGCAGACTGTATGGATTGTGCCAATATATGAAAAGGAGTCGCATGTGCTGCGAACAACCGTATCCCCACATCCATGCTGTTTTTAGCTGCACATCTGAACCCTAACTCAAATATGATAATGGAAATGATGCCACACTCATCAGACGCCGAAACTTCCAACGAAGAGAATAATGGAACGGTTAGTAAGACAATTTAATGAAGTCGTGTGACTGAGGCGATTTTGCAGCCGGCAAGCAATGGAAACACAGAAGCGACGTCAACGCGTAAGATGATCGCGGGAAATGGTGAACTGTAGGTTAAAGATGTTCATATATTATCATGTTGAAATCATAGCTCTTTCTTCATAGGCCACAGCATGATCCCAAGATGTCTATAGAAATGTTACGAGAATATTTCGAAAACAAATGGAAGCGAAGCGGACCACTGGAATCTCTTCCCAACCTGGCCCCACCGACGTTTAAGACAGCTGATTTGAATACTGCTAACAGCGATTAGTAGTGTAAGCTTGGAGAACGTAAAAGTGGATGCATGATTGGAAGCTAGTACTTACCAACCGAAGCTTTGCTACTTTTGCTTTTCTAGATGTCTCTCCATAAATTGATTCGCCTAACCAACTAATCGGATAGTGACATGCGTCAGCTCTATACAAAGGCAATCCTCATTTCTCTGGCTATACACCACATTTATCTCTGATATGCAATGGTACCGCTGCACTGCAAAGGAAATAAGGGTTTATGAAGCTGAATGGTTGGGATACATCTGTCCCAATGGGGATGAAGCCGAAGCGTTGGGGTAAATTTATGCGCTCGTAGTGCATGGAGTTTGCGCTGCATGCGCACTGTCGTTGAGAGCAAGAGATTGAACAGACAAAATACCTGTGTGATGCAAAACCCTCGCGACACGAACTCACGCCAATTTTGACCCAGTTGAAATTGGAACAGCTTGTACCCGACTCTACCTGGCCCTGTCGATACACAAATGTTGCTATTCCCCACTTCTGCACGACACTGAGAATTTGCGTTCTTGGTGGAAGAAAATTTTTTTCAGTCTCCATCCCATCTCTAGCTCTTCCCTCCCCCCCCCCTTCCCTCCTCCTCCACTACACATTCGTGATCAGCATCCTCACTTACCGCTCCCGAGTCGTCGACCGCACGGACTGACCGTAGAGTGGGGAGCAATGCGTGACGCGGCTGAGAGTCATAAAAGCATGACTTAACTTATGGATATGTTGCCAACCTCTTAATGGCAAATACCATACAAGATCATAACTTAGCTGCGGACATGTCCAAAAACACTTTCCAACATACGCGTTTATCGTTATAGCACCAAAATAACAATGAGTATCGATATCCCGGGAAACACAACAATACAACATGAGAATAAAGAGATCTGAGCCCGTAGACGAGGTGGCTCGTTGGTCGTCGGTTCCTCACTGTCTTCAGACCGCTCCTCCCTCCTTATCTATCAGACAATCGCTGGGGGCAGGCGGGCACCGGAAAAATAGATTGCTGATTTCTCGCACCCCGCTCGCGGATTTTTTGCAAAGCCATCAGGACTTTTCGGAAGACCGCTTGCTGAGTCTGCGGATTTTTGAGAGACCGCCTGTTGAATTTTTTTTCGCTCTTATCTTTTGCAGATATATTGCTGAATCTCTGAAAAATCGAGAATTCAGCAAGCGGTCTTCCGAAAAGTCCTGATGGCTTTGCAAAAAATCCGCGAGCGGGGTGCGAGAGATCAGCAATCTATTTTTCCGGTGTCCGCCTGCCCCGGCGATTGTCTGAGTAGTGGCATCTGGTGAGCGACGGCGCGAAGCAATCTGTAAACAAAGTATATGGGAAACGGAGATGATTGCAACATTACATTACGTGAATGATTAAGAAAACTTATTAGGAGAAAGCAAAAGAATAAAGTATGAGTAGGTGTACTTACCTGATAAATATAACCGTAAATACTATTTACACTTACACCATAGCCATTTGCACTGGTACGAGCGTTTGGCGATGCGACGCGTGTTCCGCAATCTATGGCCAATCCGTGCGGTTAACGACTCGACGGTACGTACATACAGACAAAAATTGAGCATTATGTTTGGTGTGTCTCCAAAAAGTATGAATACTGCTTGAATGTTGGTAACTTTTGTCACGAAGTCTTTCGAGAAGCTTTAGGTACCATCCTGTAGAGCTGGCTTCAATTTAGATTTACGGCATGGGGCGAGTCACCGATCACTCAAGGAAGCGTTATGATAAGATGCAAACTTCGTAGTTAGGATCAACAACCCTAACTGACTTAGTACAAAAAATTCCAGGTCGCTTTGTTTTCATTCTGAGGCAAAATATGCGCCTCCATGACTCAAAACCCTCCTCAAAGTTACTACTGTAAATCAACAGTGATGAAAAGAGATCGGTGATTCGTCCTGTACTGATGACAACAGCTTTTCGAAACACGTCACACAAGAGAACTTTTGACAATTAAGCAGAGGCACATTTTTGGGACACCCTGTAATAGACTTGCATACAGTAGTGTTACTAATGTTACCTAATCAGTGTTACGACTGTTACTCGTGTTAAACTCTAAAAAACTGTACCCCATTTACGATGGGGTACAGTTTATGATTTTCATGGTTTTTCATTACCTTGGCTTTTGTTTTTTGTGTACACACTAAATTCGCTGCCCTTTTTTTTCTTGTGTGCTTAAATATCGAACGAACACTTTGAATTCGGACTTTGGATTTCCCGCCTTGACCACCATCGTATTTGAGCATGTCAGCCATGCACAAGTCTAACTAAAGGTTAGATCACTAGCGTCATTCTTTGAAGTGGAAAAAGATGTGGTTGTAATTTAACGTGACTCGACCGCTTCCTAGGAAAAAACGAAGACAGAACAGATTTATGGAACATTGAAGTGTTATCATAGATACCCGTACAATAACAGTTTATGCAGGATTATGCTCCCCACTGTAGTATTTCCGGTACAGAGCGTGGATTCTCTCTGAAAAGAAGAAGAAAGTTTCTCCATAGATCCGTTATGGAAAAGCTCACTTCTCGAATGCTGTGGCTACATATGCGCCATGTGTCTGAGCGGTGGCATTCAATTGTTTGATTTCTTCTCGAATAATTCGTGCTGCTTCGAATAGGACGTGATCCATTCCAATTGCCAAGGCATATTTTCGAAAACGATTAACCTCCTATAAGTAACTAAGTCGTAAGATAGCCAGCATCAAGATAATTTTGTTCCACTTGGTAGAAGAGATGCGGCCTATCAGGCAATTTCCTTAGCAGACGAAACATTTTCTGGAAGTCCATATTGAATCCGTGCTCCGTGACCCAAGATTGAACTAAAAATCAACGATTAATGAACAATCTATAGTTCTTCGAGGCAGCTCACCTACTGGGTTGTAGCTAGGTGCTACACCTTGAAGGGTGGTGAAATGCAATGGTCCAGCTTGTTCATCCGGGCCAGATTCGAGATTGGAGAAATTTGGGATGAAATCGGGAAGATTTTCGGGTAACTGGAGGGGAAATTATATTTCTCAAGAGAAACTTCAGGTGGATGGGAAAAGAGCGATAGGTTACCTTATTCAAGACCAAACAAAAGTTATCCCCCACTTTTTCAGCTGTAATGCAACCATACTGCCCGTCGCTGATGAGCACTAGAGCAACGCTTTCCTAAAAAAGGTCAAGGTGTTTCGGATATACCAGAGTAAATCTGACCCAAAAATCAAGTGATTATAGGCTGTGCCTCGGTAAAATTTCGTTTTCCATTTTTTACCTTTACGGAGCCTTCTCGCCATGAGGAATCCACATCTGGGCCTTTCAGTGCAAGAAAATGGCGAAAATGAGCTTTTTCCGAAGCTTTTCAGGTCTACATTTAGCGAAGATACGCCGGAAGTCTTGCACGCCCTGCCTCCCTCGTTCCAAGCCCCGCCCACCTGCACGTATTCTCTACTGGAATGCGAACCTGAAAAGCTTCGAAAAAGCTCATTTTCGCCATCTTCATGCGCTGAAAAGCTCAGATATAGGTTTTTCGTGATGAGAAGGCTTAGAAAAGGCAAAATGGAAAACGAATTTCTGCCGAGACACTGCTCAAAGTCTAATTGATACTTTTTTCACTTCACGATTCTCTTCAAGCAAATATAAAAACTAAATTACCGTTTCAACTAGGGCAGGACCCAATGTTCCAAGTAAATCGTCACTGTCTTGATCTTCTGTCGTGACAAAGTGCGGGGAGTCGTCGACTTCTGGGGGTCGATTCTCTGAACTCGATTTACCTTAAATAGGCCTTTTTGAGATTTTGAGATGATAGCCGCTAATCTCTTACTTTGAGAATTTGTACATGTTGTAATAAACTGTACTCCATCTACCGGGATATTCATCATATTTGCAGAGCGTACAAATCCTATCACTTCGATGTTATCGGGCAAATCTTTGTCGGTAGACGGTTGGAGCTGCAGGCGTCGGATGGTACAAAAAGTGGAAATTCGAAAAGTCATACACTCTACTCACCTGTATTGAAGCAGAGAGATTTCCGATAAAGAGGGTAGTATAGTCTGGTTTTTGGAGTGAATTCATAAGCTCCGCAACCATAGCGCTCACACTGCTGTACTCAGAATAGCGAAGAACCCAGTGCTTCTGATTACCTTCGGAACGCTAGAACACCCAAAACTAGGATTTAGCTTTTATCTGATACTTGCAAACCTTTTCTAGTTCTAAGCAAGTTATTATTTCTTAAAATCCAATGTTAACACAAGTTCAAAACTTAGGTATCACTTAACAGTAGGCAGTCTAGAGTTTTCGAGAGGGGAGGGGGGAGGGACGCCACAGTTTCATTTGAATGAACAGATGTGACGTCAGCCACGCCCTTCGCAGATATCCTTGAGATTCGTCCCGAAGTTTTTGCGCACCTCACTACCGGAATCTTATTAAAACACGACAGCTACGCTCCAAAAAATTTTATCCAAGCTTAAGCCGAATTTCTGAAAATTCCTAAAAACTAATTTTTCTACGAGCAAGTAGAAGTAAGTTACTTGCGCAATTGTATAACTAATGTAGACGACTCAAAAATTTGGCGACTCCCCCAACTTCCTTCCCGCCAGATCGCCATTGGTATGTGGATAATGTAAAAGAAAGACGCAGTTGTCATCAGAGTCCGCAATATTTGCGTCGCATCGTCATCACTTGACTGATAGTGGGCAAATTCTCAACCCGAAAGCACAGTTCAACTCAAGCAGACGCCACGCATCTTCTGTGTGGTTTTGCTTAGCTGAGTACACAGCACTTACCTACTGGTGGCGGTCCCAGGATTTTCGCTACTGGGGAGGGTGGGGCTGGGAGGAACGACGAAAAATTTCTCAAAGGGCGGACTAACGCCACGCACTCCGAAAAGTCGACGTCCCCGGAAAGAATTTTACACATCTAATTTGAATTTCTGAAAAATTTTGGAAACTATTTTAGTTATTCACAAGTCTAACCAAGTCTTTTGCACATTTTTATAGCTCACGGTAACATTCAAAGATTTTGCCACCGATTTTCTGGCCTCGGTACGCCTTGGTGAGTTGATGTCTTTGGATTCAGAATTCGTTCACTTTAACTGATATAAGCCAGTACGACGCAATCCAAGGATTCAGTAATACTTCTCAATAATGTCTTTCTACAAAAACCATGAGCGGCTTATACCATATTAACACATTGACGACCAAGGCGTTTCACGAAAAATTCAACATTTTCTAGATAAAGTTATGCACAATTCCATTTACAGTACATCTACAGTAACGCTGAAATGCTGGCAAAAACAGTGAAGGTTGTGTCTAGATCCAGCATAAAAGAAAACACTCGGGGTGGGTTTGACACAAACTAGTAGCCATTTCAAGGTTACATATGGTGTGTTAAGCCTTAACACACCATGTGTGTCAAGCGGTCATCAAAGTGTTAATATGGCATTGCCTAAATCCGACGAGGTAGGTCATTTGCTCTCAGGTCCCGGGCATACCTCACGCAATTTCAGCCGCCACGCGATTTGGCACTACTCCAACTTTTTATAGCTCATCGTAAGCGCATTCTGAACGAAAGAAAGGTGGGACATTTTATTGTTTTGCGAAAGTTTACATAATGTGAATTCATAGTCTGCAGGTGTTGGATTTGAAGAGACCTGACAGATTGCCGGATCGCGTGGCGACCAAAATCGAGTGAAGTATGCCCGAGGCCTAGGCTGAGATGGCATTGCGCGCATATGACAATGTGAAAACAGTGCTTCACCGCTATTTAGCTGTTTTACGATAAATCCATGAGTCTGTAAAGAACAACCGAGCTTAATCTTAAGTCATTTATCTAAGCAGCAGTGCTCGATAGACAAAGAGTTCGAACTTTTCGATATCTAAGTTACTAATCTTCTGAATAAGAAAATCATTTCAACTAGCTTTTCTAACTTGCATTAGCCAATACTCACCATTTCGCTGTTGCAAGTGGTTGAAAGCTCATTTAACTCCGCCATTTGGTCTGAATTCACAGCTCCTGTATCAACAACTATGGAGAACATCATTCCACGAGGATAGGAAGTGATATCACCCTGAGCATCGAACTATTTTCGCTGACCATTTCAACAAATTTCTAACCTTAAACATTGCAGCATCGGTGAGCAGAACAACTGCATCGTCAGAATTCATAGTGGGACGCAATTTGTCGAAAAGGCGACCGAGATGAAGACTACCTCGGTTTCTCCTGGAATATGGTAGTACCCAAGCTTATGAGTTGAGCTCTAGGCAATTAGTTAAACTTACGACATTGTTTCTTCCAAAGTAGGAATGATTTTTCCATCTGAAGCCTTCGTACGTATACATGAAGTATTTCCCCAGAACTTGAAATTGAATATTCCTTTCTATACATTTTTCACACGAACTGCAGCTTACCACTTCCACACCAAGTTCCGACTGGCGACTTGCTAGAACGCCAAATAGTTCCTTGAGAATTTGAATGTAGAGGGAGTTCTTCTTCTCGATTTCCTCAAATTTTTCTGGCTTGGACAAAATATTTGATTGATGCCCATCCACGATAAAATAGATAGTCATCTCACAAACTGCTTTTGACTTCAAATCCGAATTTCTGGAAAAGTTCAGCAATTAAACAATCTAATAGGTTGGCTCGAAAGTTTTCGAACATTTCCAGACGAAATCTTCTATTTCTCGAAACCTAATGCATGTGCATGCGATAGAGATCCCCTTCGATAGAGCAAACCAAGCTCTACACAAGATGGTATGCAAAAGTTCGCACTAGCCTCGATCCACCGTAAGTTTGCACCCCGAATCTGAGTCACTTGAAGGCAGCGTCCGGGCAAAATTTCGCCTCTCACGTTTCTGCCATTCTGGGGCCTTCCCGTGGCTCTGATTACAATTGTGAAGCCCAAATTGTTCAAAACCCTTGAAAAACCCGATTCTTGGGAACCCTCTCTTCAAGGAGCGGACGAGTTTCGGATTGCTCATCCCCATCGCATGCCAGCTTGAGGAGCTGCACTGGACAGATGCAGTTGCATTGCAGTGTGCAGTGCAACTGCAAAGCAACTGCACACCTGCGTAAGCACTCGGGGGTGGTTTGTGATACGAAGGGGCGGTTTGTGATGCGTATCACAGGCCCGTATCTCCTTTTAGAGGCCACGTCAAGGGATCGGACTAACGCAGATCGGATACACATGGGCCCCTCTTTACAACTATGTGCTAATCTGGGTGGATGGATCTTGCCTGGACGCTGCCTTTAAAGGGGAAAAATAGGGAAAAATCTATATTTTCGTTCAAGTAAATCATACGGGTCTCCAAGTTCTCAAGCAAATTTCACACCACATCAGACACTCATATGCACAGTTGCTGTATTTTTTCCTCATTTAGAAATTAAGAGAATGAATTTTCACGCCTTACAAAAACGAAGCTAAGTTGTTTCCACTCATGTAACTGTATAGTACGAGCCCTTAGAAGTACGTAAATTTTCAGCTTTCTACAGGCCTTAGTTTCCAAAATTTACCGAATTGAACTATCCTTACTCGGGTGTTCCATGCTAAAATCAATATTTTTCGAAAACTAGGACCTGTAGAAAGCTGAAAAATTACGGTTATACTTCTAAGGGCTTGTAATATACAATTACATGAGTGGAAACAACATAGCATCGTTTTTGTAAGGCGTGAAAATTTTCGTTTTCTCAGTTTCTAAATGAGGAAAAAATTACAGCAACGATACATATGAGTATTTGATGTGGTGCGCAATTCGCTTGAGCAACTTGGAGATCCGTAGGATTTATTTGAACGAAAATACGAATTTTTCCTAATTTTTCGAGCCTTCGGTATGACACAGATTCTGGAGGCAAACCTACGCTAGGTCGAAGCTGGTGCAAACTTTTGCTTACCATCTTGTAGAGCTTGCTTTGCTCTATCGAATGATACCTCTGTCGGATGTACATGCATTAGGTTTCGAAAAATAGGGGATCTCTCTAAAAATGACCGAAAACTTTCGAGCCAACCTAATAGCATGCCTGCGATCACGGTAGCTTGATGAAATTTATTTAGACGACAACGCAGACAAAATAATTAAACTCGATAAATTCCGAGGCTCATAACCCTGATGCAGCTGAAGAAAGGAGCTTGAATGAAGAGCTGGAATTCTGGTAGTCACATAACTGATTTTCGAAGTTCGCATATGTTGAGCAAATGATGTCAAATAGCAGAACCAAATGAAAATGAGTAGGCGAATAAGATTCGTGTATATACAAAAACTGTGCATTCCTTTCCCCTTTTCTACCCTTCCCCGCCGCAATTTTTGTATATGCAAGTCAACGTATTACTGAATGCTAGGCACATCTGAAATCAAACAAGGATTAGAGACTTTTTTTAAAGCTAACGCTCAATGATGATTTTCGGTTCACTAAGCTGGGAGCGACAGTGACTAGCCAGTTGATGGGGAGTGCACAACTTCTAAAAAGGTGTGGCAGTCACAGGTTTTTTGCAGTCGTGCTACACCCCATTAACTTACCTTCAAGAGAATTTAAGGGAACATATTGTACAAAGTTAGCCAAAATCTCGTAGTTTTTGTGGAAGTAATTAAAGCTGACCTCTTCTTCTCTCGTTTGAGCAATAGAAGCACAACCACTGGAAGCGAAAAATAGGGATTCAAAGCAGAATTCAAGGTATTGGGAAATAGGGAGTAGTACTTTATACTGAGTACAAAAAGAGGAGCTAATTCACTTTTGAAAGTTAATCATGTTTGAAAATGGCCACTTCATCTGGGTGGTCCAATAATGAGAAGCCTCAAAATCCGTAAAACACTTGCTCCACAGAGGTTATTTGACATGATAATTACGAATATGTTACTAATTTTGCTTGCCAGAGCTTTTATGTCATGCCTAAGGTATTTTGCTTGGTAGAGCTTTTATGTCATGCCTACGGTATGCAAACGAGAATGCTGGGAGGGGGGACGTATCCGGCAGTTGTGTGCCACACCTCTTGCTCGATCTTGATAATGAGACTGAAGAAAGACTATTTACTAAAGCAACAACCTGTGTGATCAGATTGATACTCCTCGAGCAAGGTTTTGATGACCTTTTCAATTCTATCAGCTTTGAACCGAGATCTTTAAAAAAAGCGTGACGTAATCACACTCTCAAAAACAACTTAAAGGCAGCGTGGGGCAGATACGAAATTATAGAGTACAGGAACGCCCGTCCTAAGGCTCTTGCCCAACTGGCAATGCACGAATGTGCTTCTGAAAGAAATCCGCTTCAGAAGTGGCGACCGGAACGCCCCGGCAACCGGGACGAGTTAGTTCGATAAGCCAGAGTGCGAAAACCGCACACATTAAGACGTAGGGTCCTACAAAGACTCTGCGTCTTAACCTTGGCGGCAGGCCACAAAATTCAAATCGAGAGCTTTTGGAAAAGCCCGTTTTCGGCGTTTTCGTGTCCTCAAGGCTGCATTTTCAAAATCAGCGGTAGGAATAAGCAGGTAAGCGAAAAATTTCCACTCGAAATTCTTCTGTCCGGACGCTGCCTTTAAGCTGCTAAATAAGAAGGAATGGTCTACCTGGAACACATAGTATTTCAGAGAGCAGTAGTACCCTCAAAAAAAAAGATGGGACAAAGATATTTCTAGTTGCGTCATTCGCAGTTTTGTGAGACAAAAGAGATGTGATGGCAATGGAAGTAGCCGGAAGAAAGGAAGATATAAATAGAAATGAAAATTGAATAGAAACAAAATGAATAACAAAGCTTGGCATCTAATGCGAGCAAAATGGATCATCTAACAACGGCAGAGGAGTGAAATGTATTACTCTTTCAAACCTTGCTTCTCGATTATCTTGCACTGTCAATTTCTTGCTTTTGTACTTTTTGCAATGAAATAGGTAGTCGTCAATCATTCCACAATAGACACATCCACAACAACGTGATACATTATATCATGTTCGATATCCATGTATTTACTGTTCGGAACGCTGCAGTGTCTCAATAGAATAAACATGAAATCAAATAATTTATCGACTTCAAATGAAATCACCAATAAAAAAGGAGCATGTATCACAGTTAAACCCGTATACATTTGAATATGTACTGCAATCAGTCAGTCATTTTTAGTACATTAGGCACAGTTACGATTTGATATAGTGTCCTAAGCTACAATTTTTATCAGACCCACAAACTTTGTTGATCGGGAAGGCCAATAAATAAACAGCACAATTACATTCACAAATCCTAAGCAAAAATGCTTTCCTAACAGCGACGCAGCTACGAATTAATGCGATGAGAAGGAAGGGCACGCAGTTTGGCCATGAGGTGAAAGAATAAATACATATCGCGAGTTAAAGAATGTTCAAGCCAGAAAATAAATCGGTAGATGGAGCTTGCTTCGAAATATCAGCAACCATGCTCTTCACAGTTCTAGTGAATGCTTTGGCTTGTACAAAAAATCAGGTAACAACAGTGCATAAGTCCAAAACATCACAGAGGTGAAGAAAATGGCTATATAGTATAAAATACAAAAGAGTGAAATGATAAAGAAGAAACAACTCTCAAACAATCGTCAACCTAACTCCAACAGAATCAAAACTTCGTGAAAATCGTCGATGAAAAGCTTTCAACAAACGTTTTAGACTCCACTTAAATCTACGCATAACTGACCGTACGAAAGGAAGATATACTCGAAGTATCGGTTGGATTGTTGAATACCATGTAACTCCACATAGACCGATTCCGTCGCAAACCTTTGATGTAGTCCTCTCTGAGAGTCACCAGGGCGAACAATGCTAACAACCCCAACATAACAATCACCAGCACCCAAAGCGCAAACGATGAAGGTATTGATGTATCATGTGGCCGCCTGAACGAGTAATGCATAAGTCGGATAAAGGGCAGGTGCCTCAGACAAAAAACAACTTACCTGTTAATTACCAGATTACTGGCGCTGTTTTTGAGCGGGAAGTATCGCATGTGATAAATCATAGCTCCTAACGCCCATTGTACTTCTTGACCCGCTAATGTAAACGCGCTCTGCAAATATAACATGAAGTATAAAATTTGATCCTTCAAAACATATATGCTGATGAGATCAACATCAAATTTGCAAAGTTGACAAATTCCCTCGAGTTTGACCACACATGCAGCACCAACTATCGAAGGCGCGAGAGCGGGTCTCACACTAACGTTTTACCTAACAGATTAAGACAGATTGCATCTGACTTAGGAGGATATTTATCAAACTCCCAAGGCCTGGTCGGGTTGGATGCTGTTTTTACCGCCACATACGAACGTAAATCAGGCGATGAGCGCTTGTTGGTAATTGTAAAGTGCGCCCAATCGAGGGTCAGAAAATTCATAACTACCGCCTCACTCTGCATCTTTTGAGACTAACGAATCAATCGTGACGCTTTCAAAATAAGTTGATACAGGGGCGGGGGTTAGAGTTCGCATTTCACCCTTCAGATCTGATATTAAAGCCACGAAAAGGCCTATGAGTGACAAAAAAAAAAAACAGAAGCTCAGTATATGTCGAACGCTCCCTCAAATCAGCACTCATGTATTGTAAATCCCGAAAATCTCAGCACTAGTGACGCAAGTCTCTGTTCCCATCTATGCGCTATAACGACGTCGTGATCCTGTTATAGATTAGGATCTCTACTATCCACTAGCGCAATCGACGCGAAACTGGTCAGATCTTCAAGAATCCTGGTGGCAATTGTGAGAAGAAAACTGATTATAACAATGCATGTTAAAGCACTTGCACAGACCTGAAAATTATTCTTCTGCCTGTCCACTTCAAATCCATCGTGAAGAACGGAAGTGATCCATGCGGATTTGAAACATTGACTTTTCAGTCGGTCCTCGTCCGCTTTTGGATAGAGCTTAGCCCTTTTAGCCGCCTACAAAGCAAGCGTATTGCTACAAGCTACGTTGCTATGAAAAGCTACCTGGATATGCGACCATCGTTGCGAACAAAATTGTTTAGATTTTTCCGCAATAAGCGAGAAATTATACTTCCCACCAAGTGACAACACATCATCCAGTGAATACCAGTATTCAGAGAAGCCATACAATTTCATTTTTGATAAAGAAACCTATAAATATATAATATAACTTGAAGTTTTCAATTTGTCGAAAAAATATGTTGATAAAGTTCTCACCGTAGGCGCTGCCACATTGCCGAAGAAACATTTAGGTTCACACATGTGCTTTGGATTTACAGATGGCTTATTCAGCATTTCAGATATTTGCTTAACACATCCGTCCCAATCACCGATTCCCTAAAAAAGCTTTCTTTGACTGTCATGAGTTGGAAAAAGCTCCTAGGCTAGCTAAAACCGAGGCAGCCGTTTATGGGCAGAAGCGACAGACTCAATCTAGAATCTGAGTTTTTCGCAATCGCACCAACAACCGAGATGCGTGACACATATAACGAAGATCAGGGATCTCATGGTCAAGTGTCAAACACCTCTTCAATTTTTGTGAAGATAAAAACGGATACAATAAGAGAATAGCACTAATTATCATGAAAGGTGAAGACGAGAAAATATATCTAAGCTACCTTTCTCACAAACATTGAGCCATCGCTTCTGTTAATGATCTTTTGCAAGTTCACTGGCATACATTCGTCGCGAACGTAAGATTCTTTCGTATGCATCAGACGATCACTTAGTTCTTGCTCATACTTCCGCAATCCTAAAACAATTTTCATGTGTTGAGCTCTAACAGATAGCATTAAATAAAACAAAGCTCGCTTTAACCTTCGTTTACGCCATATCCTAAAAATGTCGTGACAAACAGCTTGTATTTATGCCTGTCGTCATCATCACGGCAACCGAGATTGATCTAAAAACAAGACATTTTAGGGTTAAACGATAGAAGCATGGAGGCAGCAATTTCGCGCAGAAGATTAAAAAAGAATATCCCGAAAGAAAATTACATTCTCTACATTTTCACTTCTAAACTCGTCTCTTTGATCCATCTCGAATGCAATTTGCATACTTGCTCCACCCATATCAATCATTCCTACTGTCTCAGGTCTTGTAAGCGAAGAGTTAAAGCCACCTTTGAAATTCCCTAAAGCACGACTCAGATGATCGAAAAACACAGATGCACAATTCAAGGTAAACACGAAACTTACCTAAAATGTAATTGATAGCTATCCAACTGTAGATTCCTTCCCATCTTCCTTCAATTATTCTTATGTGCTCTTTCATTATCTGAAATGACCCAATTCAATCACTCAATATCAGGGAGCTCGTGAAACATTATTGACGAAAACTTTCACAGCAAAGCGCAAGAATCGGCATCAAAGCAATTGCAATTTGAACAAAATCATGAAGTGCTGAAGGAATACAAATCATAACCACAAATCCACTGGCTTTCTGATTTTGAATAGTCCGATGACACATGCAAACCCGACACAATTATACGTACACACATTATGAACCGCGATTAAATGTGATTCTAATGAGAGCAAACAAAAACCACTCCATTTGCTTGACTATCAGGTCATAAACACGGAAAACATGAACTCGTTAAAGCTACGCTATCGTCAATGCTATGAAAAGAATAAATGTGCAAAAACGCTAGAACACCAAGCAAAAAAGTCAAGGATCTCACCTGCATCGGTGTCATTTGCGGAAGTTTAGTGTGGAGATCGTAGAGAATGGCTTTTTGTTGCCTGGAATCATAAGAATCGTTCAGCGAGTGAGATGTTTACGCTTACTTTTCCGGAACAAGCCGCATTCCCGCTGTTGCGAGGAGAAAGACTGGTGTATACGGTAATTTATCAAGAGGTATAAACTGTGATGCGTAATCCAGAAGTGGCTTCACATACTCTGAAGATGCCTCGAACTTGTAATAATCAAACCAAAAGGTAAGCTTTTTGGACCTACCAGCTGCTTCATGCGGATGATCCTGGAATGAACTCAGCCCTGGGCTAACCTTTTTCACAACAGGACTATTGAGATGATCGAGAGCAGGAGATATGTTGATGAGTTCCTTGTCTGAACGGAAGTGTAGTGGATAATGTGAAGTTCATCAGTATTTCACACTGCATAAGCAAAAAAGTTTATTATTGAGCTGTCTAAGAGTAAAAATCTTCGCTTGAGCTGGCTATGACACTGAATGACCTGAAACTGCTTTGCAGACATTGTTTAAACGTGTTTGAACTTCTTCTCTCGGTTCCAAATAGTTGAAAATGTAAGATTAATAGTTGACCACATGCTCAATCCTGATTTCGACAATGTGTGCAAAGCGAGTCTCTTATTTAAAATGGAAAATTATCATCCAAAGGGAAGCTGAGAAACGTACTGGAAAGTCAACCGGATGGATGAAAGTGACTTTTCATATGAAGTATATATCGTCTTCTTCCGTAAAAACTAAGTGAGATTGCAGCATTTGAAAACACTGGTGTTTTAAACTGCCTTTTTGGTGCATTTTTCCTACTATGGGACATCATAACGTACATGTTATCAACTGTCCGCAATGTTTCGCTGAGGGGCAACAATAACTAGTGTGTACTTTGGTTCACAAAAAAAAATTTTTTCATATGCACTGACTACGAAAAAAATTATAGTACAAATGGAGATATGCATGCAAATCAAAGTTGGCAGCTTACCTGAGTTACTCGTCCAAGTGTAGAGGAAAAGCCTGGTACCCGTGGAGCCCGCGTCCATGATGACCCCGTAGGATTTCTCATCACCGTCGTCTAAACATGATATTCAAGTGAACTCAATGCAAAACGATAAGTGGGGAAGATTTATACAACCAGGTATAACGAGATAGTGTGCCGAAGCCTCGCAAGGAGATAAGTGAGCTACCCATAATAGAAGCTGAGTAGAAAATGAAAAAGCAACAACGGCAGTGATTATTCGCTGATATAACAAAAGTATAACAAAAAAGTGTTTAGGAAAAATTAGGTTTGTAACTTGTGTACTATATTACCTTCTGTATGTCCATTGCCCTGCAGATACTTGGTAATCGAACTACCTTGGTCAGAATGATTTATAATCAAAAACAACGGGATACAGACGATCAGTATCACAAGGAGGCAAAGAAGGCGTGACGTCATACGAACCATCAAATAATGCCTAACTACCGGGACCAGACCATGCCCAAATCGTGGTTCAACAGACCAACCGACGGCGCCTGGAATGTTTTTTTTTTCATGGGGAGAAACCCACGGAAAACGGTGAAGGAAATGACTTTATAAACGAGAAAAAGCTAGCAGCTTTGATGGTGAATACAGCGTTATTGCTTTGCCGACAACTATGCACAATAATGGCAGTCTATGCTTTATGCCCATCCTTTTGCGTGCAAAGCAGGCGTTGGACTTATCCGCTTAGCGGCTTCATCCAGTGGCTATAGGTCGGATCTGATGCGACCAATAACGAAATCGATGAAGAGGCTAAGAATGGTGGTTCCCGCCTCACAAGCAAGCTAGCATTCACAAATATGGCACATGTTCCGCGCAAATATCGTCGGCAATACAAAAACGCTATTATATCGTCATTTTACTATACACAAAAGCAAAGACGAAAAAAGTGGGATCTAATAATAAAGAAAACGGACCCTTGACAGCTTGGAAGCACGGATACATTTTGTGAAGAAGCAATGAATGGCATGCAGTAATATGGAAGATAAACGAAAGAAAACCGCGATAAGTAATGGTTTATATGACGTGGTAATCAGAGATAGGACGGTAACTGTCATTGAACGACTAATCACATATCGATTTTGGCTATACTACTGCAAACAAGCAAATATCGAGATAATCCCAGAAAGGTGTTTTCATCGCACACCCTTCACACCACATAAAAACTAAAAAGCGGTAGTGATAGCGAAGATTTGGAGAGAGTTCCGCGATTGAAGTTTAGAGTTATTAAACCAGTGAGAAAAGATGAAGTGAAGCAACGAGATTCTTATAATGGTGAGTTGAAAGAAAAAAAACGCAGATGACTCACGTTACTGATAAAAAGATATCTCTTACCTTTATCATGCGAAGTAACGAAAATCTTTTACATCTTCCATTCAAAAACCTCTACTGAGCCAAGACGACAAAGGCTTTGGCCATACTTTATCCGTGTCATCGGTGTTACCATTGTTACTCGTGTTATTAGTATTGCTCGCGTTACTGATGTTATCCGTGTTACTCGTGTTACTGGTGTACTAATGTTGCCGCTTTTATTGCTATGAACATGAAATGATCACAATACTTCGCAATTCAAAACCCAATATCACTGAATGGTGAGTTACACGCGTAACAGTAGTGACACGAGCAACACGGGTAATACGAGTAACACTAGTAACACCGGTAACACGGGTAAGATATGGCCAAAGCCAAAGTTAAGATGCTTATTAAGAAGTTATTGTTAGATACATTACTCACTGTGCTGTACAAGGTAAACACTGAAATGGTACGAGAAAAGATATTAGAAAAGTATGAAGGTGAGAAAAATGTCATATCTAAAGCTCTTGCATAAAATCAACTTAAAACGTAATAACAACATTATGTAGGCCGGATTATACGGGAGAATGGTATACCTACAGCTTACAGTAAGCGTTCAAAGTTATGATTGTTTTGATTTTTTTTTTGATTGAGAGGATCGATAGTCCACCTAAATTATAAAGAGTTCGATAATGGTAGACGTGAGAGTGCGAACAATAAAGGGCACACAAGCGGACACGTACTTTCTACCAATATTTGAATAAACACATTGACAGTACAGTCAGAATTGTGAGAAAAAATCGTGAGGAAGTACTTCCTTCTTCGGAAGGTATGTGTTTGCACTTTCGGTGAGTTAAGTATGAGCATTACCGCAGAGATCTCTCTTGAATTGAGGTCAAAAATATTGATTCTGTTGAAGTTACGATATTTTAATGCAAGGACTACAAGTTGGAGTGATTTTCGTTGTTAGAAGATCTCATATGATCACCGAATACTTTGCAGTAAGATGCTCACACAGGCTTAATAAGATGTCAGTAGCCTTGTGCAGGCTAACCTGTTCTGGCATGAAGCTTTATTGACCTAGCTTTTGACTTCGTCGGAAATTATTCAATTAGTGCGCACTGCAGTAATCTAGAGAGGAAAGTAAAAGCTAAACGAGAAAGAAACACTATAGGCAGTTCTCTTCATTCTCACTTCTCCACAAAAATAGCTCAAAGTACTTCAAAACAAAGCAAACAGACCAAAAGTACTTCTAGTACGGCTAAAGTCAATATCACGGTGTCATAACTACACAATAGGCAATAAATCTTCATAAAGTAAATAAAAAACATGAAGAGAAGCTGCGCTGCAGCACGAAATGCCCCGAACTGATTCAATTTTATGCTTGCGTGGATTTTACGCGCGACCGCCACGCGTCGGAACGAGGACATTAGCGCTGGGTCACGATGTTCCATAGATAAAAAATTCGGGCATGATCTATCTACACGGCAGCAGACAAAGGAGTGGAAAAGCCGTTGGGGTGGGTAGGGATGGGACTAGGATGCATTTCAGAAAAACAAAAAGTTTTTTTTTTGGACCAATGACTCAGTACCTTTTTTCTTTGCTATGCATCCTATAGATCCAAAATATCAAACTTTCTCATTGAAGCCGAAAATCTCGATATTGATTATTACCACATGTTAGACTGTAGACGTTAACTCCTAATCGTGAATCATGAGTAGATAATCTGATGAATTTGATTTTCTGATTTTCTCACTTTTTTCAAAATAACTTCCAGTGGAGTAGATTAGATTTAACTCTAATTTTCAAAATTCTCAAAACTTTATTATTCTTAAAAGAGAAGCCTCAAATTTTGAATGTATTGTAGCTTAGCTCTGAACACGAATACCCCTAAAATCCCGCCAATAAGTCCGGACTTATGTGCAGTTTTGGCAGGAAAATCGATGGAAAAACGCCCTCTGCGGCGCCAAAAGGTCTACCAGATAAGTTCGCCTAAATCCTCTCACAGATACGTCCGCCTGTCCTGAGCATGAGCAAGCGCGACCTAGGAGCACAGACGCGCGCGACCGCCCGCGTAGCTTGCCGGTGTAGGTTTAAACAAGGCCGCGAAATCGCCTGAAAGGAAGAGCCAAAGTATACGACAAGCCGTGCAGACTAGTTGCTGACAGTATTGTCGAGGATTCGTCATCACATACGCTGGATAGGTGAGTTCTTTTCTTAGATATAACAATTCTTGTGTGTTGGAATTGATGACGCGATAGTAAGGTAGGATTTCACCCCATTTCAGCGAATACTAGGCAGGGGAGATTTATGATATAGGCTAACTACAGTACATGCATCTCCTGCAAAGCTTTTTTAGAACGCTGATCGTCGCGCATACTCTGTTCCAAGCAGTAATTGACGAAGTACAAGGATACAAACGGTTAATAGTTTTGCAAAAGACTACGGAGAAGTTGTTCTGGATATCACATGTTTCAGCGATTGGAATCAAGTGAACTCCCCTAAAAGAGACCATTCAAAGATCTTGGTCATTCCAGGCGGAATGAACAAATATCTACAGCCTCTCGACGTCGGCATCAACAAGCCCTTCAAAGACAATCTGAGGGCAGGATGGGAACGATGGATGGCCGATGCAGCACGAGCAAGATTCACAAAAGGCGGTGCCATGAAAAGAATGACCTACGGCGAAGTAGCAGCACTAGTCTACGAGAGTTGGGTGTATGCCAAGATGAACGATAACTGGCAATAAGCATACTGTACTCCTGCGGTTGTCAGTATGTCGCACAGAAAGTCTTTTTTCATGAAGCTATGTGTTCTTCACTGGGTCGAAAATGGTGTCGAACAGTAAGAATTAGGGCATATCGTGCTCCCAGCGCTTTTTCCAAGCTTCTAGATAACATCATAGCGTAAATATGGAATTTGAAAAGGATTTGACCTACGCAGCCCATATGGCTGCACTTCCTATCGTTCATGTTGGCTGCCCCCCCCCCCCCCCGAGAGTTTCAATGCGATTACTAAGGAAACCATTGCGAACAGTTTTACCAAGGCTCTCGATGACGAATCAATGATCAATGCCATGAACGAGGATTTCGACGCTTTGGTTGCTGCTGATGATAACGCTGATGATGATCGTTCTCGTTCTTTTGGCCGCGTTCTTGCCGTAAATGTTTTTCATGATGATGAACATGGAATGCTACCTGAATAAAGATCTGTTGCTTCGGTTCATTCTGAGACCAAAAAAGGCAGCGCAATTGCGCATCCTTTTTGTTTTCATGTGAAAAAATAAGGCGGACTTATCCGCAGACTCTTGCCTGTGCGAGGCTGCGCGAGGGTGTCACGAAAGCAGATTTATCTGGTAAGCTTTGTGGCGGACTTATCTGGTAGGCGGACATATCTGAGAGGTGGACTTATTGTAGGAATTTTAGGGTACTCCGAACCTTTCCAGAACCATTTGACTTCTAACAAGGTAACCATGCTTAGTCGAGGTGGTCTTTGTAGATGAGATGTACATAAAGTGACCGCAAAGGAGTTGCGGACAAGCCTCCCTCCCTTTTCCATCGCTCTTTTTCGGAGGAAAAACAAGGATGAAAAAATGTACTAATTGCATGAGCTGATAGAGCTCTTCAAGATCTACAACATACACTTTGAGCTTTTTGAGAAACATGTATTCTAAATTTTAAGAATCTTTTTCTAAAAAAAGTCCGAGAATGGCCGCGTCGCAATGTCGCGAACAATAATTCTTCGAACGCAAAAAATTTCTTTTGAGTCCTATTTTGAAGCGGAAACACAAGTTATCCGGACGAGTAAGCACACTACTATACAGAGCTCGTCAAGAACTACACACTGGTTATGGTTGCTTCCCCAAAAAACGCAAGCTTGAGTTTTATTTTGCTTTTTTCAAAAAATAACTTCTAATTTCCTTTGTCAAGCCAAAATCCTTCACACGGAATCCTGTTCAAGACATCCCAATAAAGCCGTCTGGATAAAATAGATGCTCTTTGCCCCCTCTATGCATCGGACATGTGCTGATGAGTTTCTTGGCTGGAAATGGCTCTTTGTAGTGATTGCACATGACCCCACCTGCACCTCACCACTGACCTGTATCGCTTTGCAGGCTTGTACCTCGGCCTGCAGTCAACATTTGAGCCTGCAATTAGGCTCATTGAAAGATTGAGACTTCCTCTTCACGATGGTATGCAAATAGGCTCAGTTTGGGTAATCCCAGAGATTTGGCGGATGGGGTGGTAGAGGGCAGCTTCAGTTATAGTCTAAGCACTTCTCAGCTAAAGTAGAAAAGAGCTCCTTTCGCTACCAATTTCATCCTGGAAGTTCAAACTGTCAATTTTCTTGTAATAGATCCATTTCGAAGCTTTAAGACTGTTCTGATGTTCATAAGAGCTTTCACTCCAATCACCTCTAAGGCTGCACTTTTTCACCCCATCCGCCAAATCTCTGAAATTTCTCACCAATTCATTTGCATATCATCGTGTCCAGAAACTCACGCTCTTTCGAATGAGTCTACTTGCAGACTCTTATAATGTCTGGCGGCCGAGTTACAAGCCTGCAAAGCGGTACAAGTCAATGGTGAGGTCATGTGCAAGCACTGCCAAGGGCCATTTTCAGCAAAGAAACTCATCAGCACATGTCCGATG